GATTTCGATGATTTTTCATTTGAAAGCTGGTGTTTCACATGTGATCCCATTTAAATTTAATTAAGGTCTGACCGTTTTTGAGTTATTCTTAATTATTTATATTGAAGTTGGTTGTACAAAATTTTTAATTTTAAACTATATCTTTCTCAATCATAAGTTACATTACACTATAATCACGCCATCTGCTTGTTCTGTATTATCATCTAGCGTACCCGGCACTTTTTAAGTCACAAGAAACTTACGTTATAACGTACCTACATAACATCAACGCCATAAGTGGCTTTGTTTTACACTACATTGATAAAAAATATTATATTTATTAAGAATCTAAATGATAACAAGGGCAGTGTGGTCAAATTTCTACTTAATAAAACAACGAGTTATCTAGGTAACAATATATTTTTGCCATCAACGACAAACTTAACAACAGACTACAACATAGATCTTGTCAACGGAACACCGGCGCGAAGTATAGACTTTGCGATAAAATATCAAATATTCCGAAATGTTTACCAACACATTAGTACTACGCTCGTCAATTACATGCATGCACGTTACATAGAGATCAAATAAATGCAAAAAATAATGGACGGCTTGGAGACGCTAGGATAATAGGATGCCGAAAGAATCAGTTCAGAAATTTCACGTATTTATTTAGTGGTTTACTGTTGGTAAACAAATCTAGGTTAAATTAAGACGTGTTTATAAACTGTACATGTTACATAAATATGTAAATATATTCTCGTAATAATATTAACGTAAATATTATATTATCCTTATATTTAAATTGCTTTGAATTATCATGATTGATAAGTAGATAAAAGAATTGACTCGAAATAGACTCAGTGATTGCTGAGCCCGTCTAAAATAATTTCATATGAATAACCCAGGGATTTAAGATCTTGTTGTCTTTTATTTTGGTCACGTAATATTCCCACAAAATTCTTAAATAGCCGGGTCATTAGTAATATTTTTGACAAACTTACGGTTAAAATATGCCTAATTTAAAAGCACCCAAAACATGAATAATTTACTTGTTTAGCATAGGCTGCACTTGCATTTATTTCTCAATGGCCAAAAATAACTTATGTGTCAAATTTTAGTATTCAGAATTCTTTTTGTAGATATTATATATTTTTTTCTGATATTTTTGTCTAATTGGGACATGCATTTATACAATATGTATAAAAAAAAAACTGTCTGATCCGTGAAGATACTATTTGATATTGTGATATGGTTCTGTTCAGGTAATTATTTTTTGAAAAAAAATAAAAAATACCCACGTATAATAAAATTAAATGGGAAAACTTACACAGTGAAACATGCGGTGCGGGCGGCCGTTGTGTGATTTTTAAGCAAATTGTGATAGTTCAAAACATTTACTATTAATAACAATAACATTTTTATGTCTATTAATAATATGATGTGTTATTGTAATACCTTCCCATTAGGATCGAACAGTGTTTTTTTTACATATTGCATAAATGGAATATGATAAAAAATATACCATAACATATAAAGCCATAAAATATTAATTTAATATCATAAAATAAAATAAATAGATAAATGAAACCATAATGGGAACTAAGGGACGGGCTTTTTTCTATAATAAGACTGGATTATGAAGCCCATAATGGGAATTATAATTATGATAAAAATTATGTTTTTATATAAAACGCAGAATCGAAGCGCATCGAAGTGTCGAAATTTCTTTCTCAAACTATAATGTTTTTTAATTCACAAATTTCTATCGAGACAAGTAATAAATACGTTTATTTACATGCACACATGTAAATAAACGTATTGTAACGCAAGCACATTCACCGGTATGTGATGTGTAAGTGATATTAGATGGTGAAACAAAAGAAAAATCATCTATTAAGTTTCAAAATTGTTCAAGGCATTTTTTTCTGTTTTAAGCCACCGTAAAATTCCGAATAGGCAACCACTGGATTGTGTTTGGAAAGGTTCTATAGTCTGTCTTGTACCAGCAAGCAAAATATAGGGCAGCTCTGTTCTAGATGGAGTTTTTTTTTATAGAATAAGGGTGACAAATGAGCACACAGTCTACCTGATGGTAAGTGGTTGCTGTGGCCCATAAACACATACATCTATCTTCGTTTGCGAATTAAAATGCAGATGCGTTGTCAGCCGTGAGGACTAAGATGGAATGCCTCTTTTCCAGTAAAATAGGTCTCCGGTTCTGTACACTCACCATACGAAACACAACAGTATTAAGCTGTTATTTTACGCTGGTATTCTGTGAGAGCGTGGTCCTTCCCCGGTCGAGCCGACCCATTCGTGCTACAACTATACTATTAATATAGCTGCAGCATAACTCTACCACGTAAAAACGTGACGACCAGCTAAGACATGCAGGAAGTCGATGGACGCAGATGGCTCAGACCGTGTTTTATGGCATTACTTGGAGGAGGGCTTTGTTCAGCAGCGGACATATGAAGGGCTGTAATGATCTGTATAGTAATAGTCTGAAATGTATAGTAGAGTTGGCAACCCTAATATATGTGATGTATAATCAAAGCTTCAACACACACAGTCAACTGACTACTGCAAATCCATCACTAGTACTCAATTCATTCTCAAACAAATACGCGTAAAGACGTGCGAATACGCGCGCTAATTAAAAACTAATAAAAACTTTACTTTGATTGTGAAGAATTTGACGATTCGCTTCGATTCGCGTACATGTGAATTGAACCTTATAGTACCTAATTAATTTAAAGTATGAGTTTTAAAAATTTAAAATCCAACTTAAAAAAAAACAGTAATAATAGTGTCGTGTTTGTAGTGAAAGTAGAAAAGGTTTAATCTTTAAAAAATGTCTCGTATTTGACAGTTTTAACATAATCGGTAGGTATCAAATCCTTATCTTAGAAGCACATTCTGTGGGGTAAAATATTATGCAGTACACGCACCCCAGTTATAGAAATATCAACGCGAATAAGATGCCCTAACTTGAATATATTCACGCTTAAAATATCATAGTAAAGGGAGTGTTAAATGCTGTTTGGCACTAACTTCATTAAATATTTATTTTGTATAAATTCTATTTTACAACACATATAGTATCGATATTTACAGCTTAAGAGAACAGACACATTAGGGTATATTTACAACGGTACAAAACATTACATAGATATTTAAATAACGGTTGGGTAAAATATAAATTACAATTGCGGGAACGTGTACAATATCTACAGCTGTACGAGTATATGTTATAATATGTAAGCTTTAGCGACATCACATTGATATACGCATATATATATATATTTATTCATTATATTTATTTGAATCTAGGTACACTTGTGCATATAAATATAGTAGACATGTATGTACGTATGTTCTCAAAACAGTCCCGTTTTAATTTTATTACGTTTTAATATTTGAATGTCTACAATATAGATAACGCATCCACTAACATCTAACAAAACATCGGTTATATTGCACACATTCGTTTAAAAATAGAATATATTCCTATTTTAAATAAAAGAGTGGGCTAAAATCCCTCTCCGCCATAATTTCCATAACTCACCGTTTACCTACCAATGGAATGACATGTCCGGCGCGCCTCCAATGTTGAATAAACTCTCTAAGCTGACTGATTTATCTAATTTTAACTTAAAATATCATATCTTTTTAGAAAATCTGAAGTAATTTAACAATTAAAGGTAATTTTAAAGTATTTCGCGATACTAGGTTTTATTTTCAGTATTTTAAAATGAATTTTTCAGTTTAATTGCCATAGGATATGCTTACCATACATGTAAAAATAAAAATATGATAACAAAAAGTATATTAATTGAGTATGTAAAATAAAATAAAAAACAGCCTGCTTAGGAGCGCGCCGTGTGCTGCAAGCTCTGCTCTACTAATGACGACAATGAATAGGCTTTAGGGCTCTATTGTCTATTTCTACCGCCGATACAACGACCTGGGATGAGATGCCCTACTGCGAGCCTTCGATGAACCCAATACCCAAAGCAACTTTGATGGCACATGGATGACCACCGCGAGTGAAGTGAGCGCGTCGTATTTGTATGAAAATACCATATAGCGCACTGAAATAAGCTCTAATGGTTCCTAGTGAAAACTACTGTGAAAATGATCTGAAAATTTGGAATGTTCCGAAAATTTTTTAACATCTCATAGCACCATTGCCAATCTATCGAATATTAGCACAATTCGTACCGAAAACGAACATCGTAAGATCTATGTTATCGTCATTTTACAAATCTAGATCTATTACATTAGGTGCAGAATTGTCCCTACAAATTGTCCTACCTGTAAAATTTTAAAGTGTCTTTTTACGTGATTCAGATTAATTTATAACAATTGGTACCGCATGAGATTAGATTTATAAAATTCAGTCATCGACTACTGGTAAGTTCATTGATTGCTACTTCTAGAAAAAATAAATAGTTTTAAACTTTTACATTTTTACACTACCCAAATACTCCCGCGTTAATAATTGGGATGTGATCGTTAAGAATGTTATTTTCAATTGCTTCTTGGGCAAGGCTTGTTATATATAACGTTTCACCGCAAATCGTCGAGTTATATAAAATTTAATTGCCTCCCTTGTGCCATTAATTTTGTATAGCCATCTTATTACCTGCGTAATATCGCCGTTCTATGTACATATTCTCATATCAGTCCGTTGCAACGTTAGGTCAGAAAGGATTGTGACAGTTTTCATCGTCGATCAAGTCTTCCTCGTAGAGCGAAACATACTTTCACCGCTTGCTCACCCATAACCACCCGACACATTCTCTCACAATTATTATTTCAAAGAGAGAATGAGAGGAGTAGGAGTGCCGAGTTCTGGTTGTGGGGAAGCAAGAGAAGACAGTGCGTTTAGAAGAGCATGTGGCAGCGCAGGTTGGAGTTGGCTATTCCGTGGTGTGTGCGGTGAGGTCGACCCCCAGCGTCGCGGTGCCCAGCGCGGCCGGAGGATCGCTGGCGGGGAGGGACAGTAGATGTTAGGCCTCCAAAAAAATCAGCGCGGTTGGCTTTGGCTCCAAGTTGGACTTTTTCGCTTCGACGACCAGAAACTCGATTTCCTGTAAGAAAGATAAATTAATAAATATAATGATTATACATATTCGTTAAAAGTTGGTACATCTTTTAACAATATGAATACTATCAAAACTAAAGATCTTTGGGGTATCTCAATGATTGGTAATTAATTCAATACTTCATACAATTTCACTGAAATAAAGGGTTATTTCAATAAATACGTTGGCACTATTACTTTTCCAAATGAAATTAAATAAAAAATTCCCCTTTTTTCATCTGTTAGTAAAAGTTTAAATATTTATTTGGCTACTAAGAAAAGTTTTTGAAAAAGTAATTTATCATCAGCTATTATCTCATTTCTCGCTAAGCAAATTATTTCACGATAGCCAGTGTGGTTTCTCGTTAGGTTAAAGTACTTCGAACGCAGACCTTACACTTCTCAAACATAATAGTATGCACTAGGTGTTTTTATGACCCATTAAAGACAACCCATTGCGTAAATCATGATACACTATTAAACAATTCAAAGTATTATGGCGTTATAAGAAACTCAATTAACATGATAAAATTATACCAGTCTGACCAGCTGCAAAATAGCCGGCTGCAATAGATCTGAGTCTTCTAGAGCACCCTTAATTATGAGCATGCCCTAAAGATCAGTATTGAGATCATTGCCCTTTTTAATATATATTTTACGTGGTAGAGCCATGCTTCAGCTATATTACTGGTATGGTTGTAGCACGAATGGGTTGGCTACCGGGGAAGGATCACACTGTCACAGAATACCGGCGTAAAATAGCAGCTTAACGCTGGTGTGTTTCGTATGGTGTGTGTAGAGATCCGGAGACCCTTTTTAATGGAAACTAGGCATTCCATCTTAGTTCTCGCGGGTAACAACGCATTTGCATTTTGATTCGTAATCGAGGATAGATGTAGATGTCTATAGGCCACAGCAACCACCTACCACCAGGTCGATTGTGTATTCGTTTGTTACCCTTATCTTATAAACAAATATATATAACTGATGTTTCTATCTAAAAACCTATGAGAAACAGTATTGTTTGCTAAGAATACATCTCTAGTATTTAAAATTGGTAGAAGTTAAAACTTATTTGATAAGTAGCTGTTTTAATTTTCTTGCGCGGAACCCTTATTCTTTCTTTGAAATAAAAGTAGCCTAAGCTATTCCTTATAGAACATCAGCTATCTGCCAGTGAAATTTCCGTCAATATCAGTCCAGACATTTCGGAGATTAGCCGGAACAAACAGACAGACCGACAGACAGACAGTTAGAAAGACAGACAAAATTTTTATAAATTGTTTTTTTTGTTATAAGTACGAGGGCGACACTGAAAGTTTTTAGAACTGGCAACTTGTAAACGATATAATAAAAATATAAATTTAAATTTATGGAACTCTTTGCCAATATTATTGTGTAGGTATGTATTTTATTAGACAGCTGATAGTTGGCGATGTTATCTCAAGGCGCCTAAGCAGACAAACATTTTATCTTGATAATCACATCACCATCAGAGCACTTGTTTCACCGTTTCCATTAATAGTTCACATGCGCAGACATTTAATACACAAAATGGCACCACTTTTACATATCAAAATCCACTTCAAACCATTATTTAAACAATACTACAGGAGCAGCAATCCGTCGCCGGTCAAGTTCCCGCCAAAACCTGTACTCTAAGAGTAAGTAGGTAGCCTTAGAGTATACTATACATAAGCATTCAAAGAGTTTTGCTAAGAGTACCATTTATGTTAAACGTAATCGTAAATTATTTCGCAAAGGACGTGCAATATTGTAGTACGTAATTAAATAGTAAATAAGGTTCATTCTCCTCCTAAACGTCGCGATTAGTGCGTATCTTGTTAGGTCACTACATAGGTAAGCTAACCGGTAAATCTGTATACATTGCGTGTTTTTGTGCAATATGTAGGACAACATTACAGATCGACCTCCATTCTAACACTTTTCTAATTAAACCCACTACTAAGTAAGAGCCTTAGAGTATTGCAGTTTTATTACAAGAGACTGTATTCGCATGGTGTGATTTCATCATTTTACAAAGATACTTTTTCCTTTAAAACAGACTTGTATTGGTTAAGATTTGGTTACAGAGGCTCTAGTATTAGAGAGGTTCATGTCGGACAGTAGACCGGCAACGTGACATAGCGTGAAAATAACCGGGGCTGGAGAATGATGCGACTAAAACAGCTTTACTAAGGATATAAAGAGATTAAACCAAGTGAGCTGTATAATTAAAGAAAAACATAAAAGAAAATAAAAGATTCAAGTTCATTGTAATAAAAACAAATATAAATAAGAATTATAGCGATAATGTGTATTCGTGGCCTGATATAGACTATACACTGAGAGTTCGTGTTTATCAACCAACTAAAGGCGTAAACCATTCGTAGCACTAACATAATGGCTTCTTTTTGTGTCATTATTGTCGTCATTACAGCTTTTCCAAAGTCCACTAATGAATCTAGGCCTCCCCTTAGATAACCTTATATCGAGAAGTTTTGCTATAGTTCCCATTTTCGGCAGTCGGGTTGGATACTGCAGTTTTTAATTATTTGGAGTTGTCATTGAAAAGATGCTGTTAATTATCTCCTGTCATATTTTCCTTTGTCGTTCATCTCATGACAGAGTCGTCGTTCTCTTACGCCCTCACTACACGGCTTATTTAAAGGGAACAATAGTAAAATTCGAAATAAAGAATCTTGTTTACAGTTATAAAAACATTGTGAGAGTATACTGACCGGTTTATCTCTCTGAGCGAAAGACTCCGCGATAAGTCGCGCGACGTCCTGATGTTGCATGCCTTCCACTCGATGCCCATCCACAGCCAGGATAAGTTGGCCCACCTCCAATCCGCCAGCTTCGTAAGCCGCACCATGCTCCTGAAAATAACATCAGTGCCTTTAAGTTTTAATTTCATTCAAGGCGAATAACATTGTTTCTACTAAAAATGTAGTTGAAAACGAATATAATGAAGTAGATTAAGTTGGGATTCATATTTTAATTGGTCTTTTATGTAAATTTGATATTTCTTTTGTTTTTTTCTTATGAATAATTTATTTTTGATTACCTTTGGAGGAAAACAGGCATATTATTTCAACAGTTACTTATAGGATTACAATATGTGGTGTGTTTAGCTATATTTAATGAAATTTAATGATGAAATAATGATGAATAAAGCATAGTCCCATATATTTTTTGTATTTATTTTACCGTTATAAAATAACATCTCTACCAGTACGTTTTCCATAAGTTTTACATTTTAAACCCACATGTATATTGATTATTCTCGGCAGCGGATGCTTTGTATTGGCGCCACCTTCAATGGCGATTCCAAGTATGGGTTTGGTCTTCTTAACGGTGATGTGCAGGTTGCCATGGTGGTCAGGTACTACCCTCGCTGCCCGATTCTCGTCGAGTTGCGTCTCACCGTGCTGGAGGCGTTGCATCGATTGGTGCCGCCGAATGCCTCCTCGCTCGTCCAGCAGTGCTCCACCTTCTTCCTTCATGTCAAAGCTTCGGGACAACTTATGTGCCAACTCCTGTAATTATTTTACGTAATTCAAAACTCTGCTTTTCATATAAGTACACAAAAAAAATTGTCGTTTTAAGATATGAAGTGACCCTTTTAATGTAAATTACTACAGTCCTTGGTAAATTATGGGATTGTGAGTCTATAGGGCCTAATCACTATCAAAACCACATACATACTAAGAACTGTAGAGCTACAAATCTAAGTACAGCATTTTTTTTTTAATTTTAGCTTCTAATTACAGTTGAGTGCTCTAAGAGAGGACAGTGTAGCTGGGTAGTAGAGGGCAGTGTATCGGATCATAATTATACGACGGGGAGTAGGACACGGCCGGCGCAGCTCGTACAACCTTGTGCCTCAGTTGCAATTATGTAAGTGATCTGTATACTCAAATGTGTTGAGAAGCTGTTAGTGAGATGTGAGCTGGAGGCTTGGTATCATGCGTATCGATCACTCGGTGGCGTGGTACAAAGGTATTCGATACAAGTGTATAAAATGTCATGAGGAGCCGTAAACCCAAATCTTTTGAACAACCTGTACATGGATACACTTACATTTAACTGAATAGAAAATACGACGCAAAATAAATTTTACAAACGCAAACATAACGCTACAGTCCGACACATTTAATATAAACAAATATATATATATATTTTTTTTTTTTTATAGGAGAGGGGGCAAACGAGCATGCGGCTCACCTGATGGTAAGTGACTACCGCCGCCCATGAACAACCGCAACACCAGGGGAATTGCAGATGCGTTGCCGGCCTTTTAAAAAGGAGTAGGCTCTTTTCTTGAAGGTCCCTAAGTCGTATCGGTCCGGAAAAATCCCTGGTGGTAAACTATTCCACAAGGAAGTTGTGCGAGGAAGAAAACATCTTCTAAATCGCACAGTGGTGGACCGCCAATCATCCAGATGGTGTGGATGGTATCGGGAGTTCTGCCGCGATGTGCGTTCGTGAAATTTGGCGGCTGGGATTAATCCGAACAATTCCTCAGAGCACTCCCCATGGTAGATGCGAAAGAAAATGCAAAGAGATGCAACATCTCTTCGCAGTGCCAATGAATCGAGCCGATCGGAAAGGGCTCGGTCGTCGACGATTCGAGCCGCTCTGCGCTGGATGCGGTCAAGTGGAAGGAGCTGGCACTGGGGAGCCCCTGCCCAGAGATGGGAACAGTATTCCATGTGAGGCCGAACCTGCGCCTTGTAAAGTTGCAGGCGGTGTGCCGGCATGAAATACTGTCCCGCTCTGCTGAGCACGCCAAGCTTTTTAGAGGCCAATTTGGCCTTCTCTTCCAAGTGACCACGAAACTGCACGTCACTCGATATGTCGACTCCGAGGATACCGATACTGGCTGAGGCAAGAAGGGGAGTGCCTTGAAACTGAGGAGATACGACAAAGGGGTTCTTTTTAGCGGTAAACGCGCAAACTTGTGTCTTCTGAGGATTAAACTGGACTAGATTTAGTCGCCCCCAATCCGAGACTTTGTCCAGCAAAGACTCGACTTCAGACACAAGTTTGTTCCGGTACTCGGCGACGTTTTCCCGAGAAATATTGGCCCGGCCGGTATATAGAGCATCACCAGTGCTGTCATCCGCATAGCAATGAATGTTACCAGTTAGCAACATATCATTGATATGCAGAAGAAACAGCGTTGGTGATAGCACACAGCCTTGTGGAACACCAGCGTTAATGGGCTTGTAGTCAGAACATGCACCGTCTACAACGACCTTGATGCTCCGATCTGCAAGAAAGCTGGTGATCCAATTGCACAATTTCTCGGGAAGCCCATAGGAAGGCAGCTTTGAAAGAAGCGCTTTGTGCCAAACCCGATCAAAGGCCTTCGCAATATCCAGACTAACGGCCAACGCCTCCCCCTTGGACTCTACTGCCTCCGCCCATCTATGGGTCAGGTAGACCAGAAGATCACCAGCTGATCGACACCGACGAAAACCAAACATATATATATATACGTTCCTATAATAATCGAAATTTGATGCGATTACGCCAACATGCACTAATTGTAAAAAAAAACCTACTATGCTATCACTTCCCAAAGTATGCATTCAAGTCTTTTGTGATAATTTTGTGACTAGTACAAGAGAAATTAATACTAAAGAAATGTTCTATTACATTGAAGGAATATTACTTAATCTTACTATATCCGTCATGCAACACGATAGCTCGATCCAGTCAAGACATTTCGTATCTACCAACTAATGATGTAACCAGAATGACAAAATTTTGACATGTGCTATCTACTCTTGTATTAAATGAAAGTAGAATTTTTGAAAAAAAAAATGTTAAGCTGTTCAAAATAAAACATCAAAATAAAGTGCGACCGTAATTGAAGTGGGAGAAAATATAATAAGTAAAAATACTATACGTATAATCGTAAAGCAATTTTATCGATTGAAGCGATTTCCAATTAGAAATAAGAGAAAATATTGAATATGTTTTTGTTAACTTCGTGCAAAAAAAAAAGAATCGTCAATGTGCTAGGACAGTTCGTTCGTTCCGTCGGCTTGAGGCCGGGCCACTTACTAGAGGTCTTCCCCAGTACCACGACTTTACTTTCTGCGTCCAGCCACCGAGTGATGAGCGCAGGCCCTCGAGATAGCCGCACTGAAACATCACTCTCACTCAGCACCAGACCAACTTCGATACTAGTCAAGCGCCCAGCGACGCACACCCCTAACTCGAATAATGGAATGAAACTTTATTATAAAATGAAAATGTCAAAGATTTGAATTTTTGTCGGTATTGTTTTAACAATTGGAATAACTTTGAACTTGCACTATTCCATATTGAGATATTGAGCATATTGAAGTCAGTTTAAAAAATTGGATATTATGGGTATGAAAAATAGCAATCTATTATTTAGCTAGCTAAAACTCTTAAATCTGCATTCGCAAGTAGTTGCAAAGCTTTCCTTAAATGACACTAATTTATACTTACTGTACAGGGCTTAAAACTACTATAAAATTACTAATCTAGTATTAACGAAAGGAGTTATTAGAAGTTATTGCAATTAATGAAATATTAAATTATTTATTTCTCTCCGTACATACCTGATCCTATAAAAGATAAGTAGGCGTGTAACAAAGAAAAGGAATAATAAACAAGTTGTTGAAAATTCTGTAATAAATAAATTTTTATACGTTTTTTTTTATACATGGTAGAGCCAAGCTGCAGCTAGCACGAATGGGTTGGCTCGACCGGGGAAGGACCACACTCTCATAGAATACTAGCGTAAAATAGCAGCTTAATGCTGCTGTGTTTCGTATGGTGAGTGTAGAGAACCCTTTTTACTGGAAAAGAGACATTCCAACTTATGTAGATGTCTATGGGCCTCAGCAACCACTTACCATCAGTTGGACTGTGTGCTCGTTTATCACCCTATTTTTATAAAAAAAAATATTTTGTACTAAAGTGACACACTAGCTGACAGTTGTCCTGGTGCTAAGTGTTGCAGCAACTATTGCAGCCCATGATACTTTGCAAACAATTTACAACAAAGAAAGCTACAGAGGCGTTGCCACTTCTGAGGACCTAGCTGATATCCCTCCCAGCCTGTTATTGTACTGGCTCCCTACACCCTTCAGACTAAAACAAAGCAGTGGACGCACTGCTGTTTGAAGGCAGAAATAGGAAAGAGGCTGTTACCTATCCAAACGGACTGAGGCAGAAAAGGAGTCATACCACCTATAGGTATGTAGTATGTATACAATTCGAAAGTAATGGTAAAATGGGATAGTGATAAAAATACAACTGTAGTTTTTAAATGTTATGAACGAAACAATGTAATGAGGGCTAATAGAAACAGAAACAGAAACAGAAACAGAAACTTTTTTATTCAATATAGATTATAAATAATACTTATTGAAAGTCACTCTTTTGTTTGATTACCACTGGTTCGGAAAAAACCTCTGTCCTGGGAAGAACCAGCAAGAAACCCAGCGGGACTTTTTTTTTTAAATAACAGCTTACAATCATGATGTTACACAAATTAACAACACAACAAATTAGAAATAGCTTGGTAGCGATCACCTCATTTCCAGGGGTTATTATCATCCATAAATTCCTTAATATTATAATAACCCTTTTTATACAAACTTAGTTTAATAAAGTTTTTGAACTTTGAACAGGCCAAACTTTGTATATTTTCTGGAATTTTGTTGTAAAAGCGTATACATCGCCCCAAGAATGAATTACTGACTCGATGGAGTCGAGTAACTGGTACTACTAGCTTGTGTCTGTTCCTAGTATTTACAGAATGAATATCACTTATTTTTATAAAACTACTTTTATTTTTGTGTACGTACATTAAATTTTCATAAATGTATTGAGAGGCCAAAGTTAATATATTAATTTCCTTAAATTTTTGTCGCAGCGACTCTTTAGGCTTTAAATCATAAATTGCTCTTATGGCCCTCTTCTGCAAAACAAATATAATTTCAGTGTCAGCTGCGTGTCCCCATAGCAAAATACCATACGACATTATGCTATGGAAGTAGCTGAAGTAAACTAGTCTAGCTGTTTCAACACTGGTTAGACTTCTAATAATTTTCTGCTCACCAGATGTCGCTAGTTGACACTGAGTTAAAGTTTTTTTTTGTTACACACTACACTGTGTTGGTTGTTTTTTAATAAAAGTTTATCAGTTTCTAGAGTATTATATGAATACACATAACAATGCGTCAGTGGTTTGCTCTTTAATTTTTTGTAAATTTTTCAAAATTTCCTTTTATGAATATCTGTGGTTTGGTTTATTTATTTTTAATGTTATTAATATAAAGTATAGCTAATAATACAAAAAGGAACAATAACTTTTACATTTTCCGAACAAAATAACTTCCCCGCTATGAAATCTGTCAAATATTATACCTCACTTTCTAGTGGCACCGCCCAGGTGGCACACCTGCTTACATAATGTTCCAGGGACTATCGCGAGAGTAAACTCTTAATTAATAAAGCTAACTTAATATGTAGCTTATGAGAATTTCAAAGCATTTCCCTTGAACCTTTATCAATTGCTGCACAAATGATATGCCATTTAGTATGCATGTTGTACATATAATTATTCAATGTATGGTTTCGAGTTATTTAGTTAGGAAGTTAAGGTACAATGGGACTAACATTAAAAAAAAACGAAATTAACCTTGAAATATATAATAAAAAAATGCTTAGCATATAATATATATATATATATATTGTTAGGAATGAGTAAAATAATAAAAGAAAATAATAAAAATTGAGGATGGCAACATTGCTTTGCAGCCATTGTTAGATGGGTCCGTGTTTGCTTTTCTATATAGTTTGTGGCTTTAGAGTAAATTCTCATACGAGTAACATTATTTTATTTAAATCATTTTGAGAATAGTTTCTAACATCAGAAGTAGAATAGTTTCTAATATCAGAAGTGGGATAAAGTCCCTGTTACTGTCCACGTATAAACTTTAAATATTGTGAGGGTTATTACTTTGGTGAAAGAATATGACGCGCCTCGCGTCTTGTTTTTATGTTCAATTTCTTAAACAAAGTTTGTTGTCATATATTTACGACATGGACGAATCATTAAAGTGTAGCGTGAGAGTATACAAGTGAAATGTTTTAAGCCAAAAGTTAAATCCTTTTGTTTAATTTTTATTACGTTCTTGAAAAACCATAATGCGCTTTGCATTGATACCTTTGTTTTTATGTTTAATGTCGTAATTAAATTTGCTGTCTTATTTACTTAAATTATTAAATAATTAAATTATTTATTAAATTAAATTTCACAAAAGTGTAAAGTAAAAGCTTAAAATCGAATATTTTGAGCTAAAAGTTAAATCTTTTTGTTTGATTTATATAGAAGTAACCGAAAATACTTTTGTTACTCCTTAGCGTACCCAAATATGTTAACAAATGTTGAAAGAAATATTGGAAAGAGGTGTTAACTAAGTGAGTTGAAAAAAGAGCTATGAGGAGTGGTGTGAGGGTGTACAAGTGTCATTGTGTTTTTGGCTATTTCTTATTCTGAGAGCTGTTGATTTACTTTTTTGTTTATTATTTCTATTGGTGTTGGTTTTAGTAGTTATAAATCCGTAATTCAACAGTACAACCACTAGTATTATAAGATACTTGTATTATCACAATCTTCTTTAGTACATGGGCATAGTATTTGTAACTACTGAGCTTGTACTCAATAAACACTTCCACGCTGACATTGGCGAATAACTAAAAACCGCCATAAAAAAAAGAAAGAAGAAGAAGAATTAAGTGAGTTATAGTTGCATCCAGTGAAAACTTAACTTTGTTCAAGTTTTATTATAATTGATAGTTCATGCGAAATACGATATACCTACGTAATGTGGAGTGATATGAAAGAAAATACGTAGCCCACGAAATAATATAGCCCATACATTTTAAAGTTCAAATTGTTTAAGCGATGTATCAAATAAAGAATTAACTTTAACGTGCTATGAATTGAAAACATAAATAGCCTGTTTGTATTCTAATGTGTTGATAAGTGTTACAGTTTACTCCAAATGGCAGACGGCTAATTGGACATGGTCAGGTGCGTGGCCGAGCTTCGGTAAGGTTGAGGCTACACCGCTACTAACTGCCTCAAACTGCTGTTTCTTGGCCGATCTTATGGCAGGATGGCCGGGTGCCACCGAGTGCTTGAGAAACTTGATCCTGGGATGAGTAACATTTATTTAATAATTTCTGTATTTTAAATTTATGTAAAGGCAAGTCAAGCATTGAATCAGGTGTTTTGTTGGAAAATCGAATGCGTTTGCCTGAGCAACCTTTAGAATCAACAGAGGATACAAAAGAGTCCATACCGAGTTACTAAAGTGTTACCAAGTTATTGGTACAAGTTGAAGTTATTATCTGAAGCTAGAGGCAAGACTACCCATGCCGCAGCTCAGTATATGGTTCCGTGCAAAGGCGAATGGTGTCCCGAGAGTGGTGTTGCATTCTTTTGAAAGTGTGTTCAGACTGAATCTTTTTAATACGCTTTCTTTTGTGTGTTACAGTAGCACGTGTGATGTGATTACATGTGCGCGAGTGTGAGGCGTGTGTGCCTTGCTTGTTGGAGCTGGACTGCTGGGTGCAGCTGTAACATGGCCTGGTTCCTGCAGACGCGTGTGCTGCACATGTGGCGGGTGCTATTCCGGAACGCGCGCATGCTGTACATGGCGGTGCAGTGGGAAGCCTTGTTTTGTGAAGAAGCATCAGGCGTTGTCCTGGCAGGCGCTGTCCTGGGGCGCTGTGTGCGCTGAAGTCGTGTTCTGTGAACATGCATCAGGCGCTGACCTGAGGCGCTGTGAGCGTGGCGCCGTGTGCGCGAGCGCAGTGTGCGCGGAAGTCGTGTTTTTTGAACATGCATCAGGCGCTGTCCTGGCAGGCGCTGTCCTGGGTCGCTGTGTGCGATGCGCTGTGTGCGCGGCGCTGTGTGCGCGGAAGTCGTGTTTTCTGAACATGCATCAGGCGCTGTCCTGGCAGGCGCTGTCCTGGTTCACGTCTTTAACGTGGGAACTTGCAAGTTCAAGTACGAGTATGTACGAGATACTTCGTATGGAGATGTATGCATACTTGTGAAAGCGAAGTTCTTTATAATAGTCTGGTATGAGAGT